AGCATTTTGATCTATTTTAAAGTTAAATTTAAAATTTAAATTTAACTTATATAACAAAAAACATATTATATTAATTTTTAAAATATTTAATTTATTAGAAAGTTTATTTTCACAAAATTTATTATAAAAAGATTATTTTTATCTTTTTTAACTAATTTAGTTTTTAATTTATTTTAAAATGAAAATTTTTTAGAAATACCTTTTAAGAAATATGATTATATAAAGTTATTATATAAAGCTTTATATATCAAATAAATAATTAGTATATCTTTGATCAACAGATAAAAAATACACGTCGAAATTATCCAATCAAAATGAAGATACTATGAGTGGCTTAGATAGGATTTGCTGAGTTTCAAATTTGATTGGATATAAAGTTTTTTTGGTGACAGGAATTTTTTCAAATGAGCATTTTTTTATTCCAATGAAATTTACATAATTGAGGAGTTAGCACTTTTGTTTGTATCTAAATATTTTTAAACCTGGTCAATTAAAATAAGTTCTTTTTTTTTCAACAAATGCCACCTTCCGCTCATAAAGCCTCAGAAAAGGCATTAAACGCAAAACGTGCAAAACGACAAACCGCAACTAAACCAAATTATTTCGAGGGTAATTCTTCAGACATTGACTCTCCGGAGGACTATGACCCTATGATGACTGACACAGCCTTTGACGGCGGCGACCCCGAGTTTGGAATAGAACCCATGAGAATTGACGAAGATGAGTCCATGAAGAGATATGATGAGCGAGAGGAGGGAGAAGTCTCCGAAGGTGCATTTAAACAAAGTTATACCTTTGTTTTATGTCGTTTTGAACTTTAAATATGATTTCACTACTTCGTGTTTTGTTGTATAAACTATTATTATTTTTGAAACAATTTTGAATAGAACACCGCGAGACGGCAGTCGATCAAAAAAAAGAAAAAAAACGACAAGAAATCATCGACCGAATAGAAAAGTTACAAAAAGAATTTAACAGTAAAAAAGATGAGTAAGTAAAGTTTTTATAACTTTCTTTTGTTCGGTTTAATCTCGTCAGGACAGGTTATTTTGATTCTATTGGTCGTAAGGCTAGAAACCTCCACACAAATATCAAACTAATGCCGGCAGGAGCGGTAATTATTCATTCGAACCACTTACATACAATAGCATGACTTACTGTTGTCGATTGTTTGAATTAACAGGATATTCAAAGACAGTATAAGACAAATCGATTATGATATTAGGGCAATGAGGGAAGGTAATAATTCTTAACAACGAGATTGAGAATAAAACCTTTTAAATACGTAGAATTTCATAAAACAAAATTATATATATTAAAGGTACTCATCCGGAATATGAGGAACGTTTGCAACAACTTATTGATAGACGCGAGCAGACGCTTGAAAAGGCAAAGTTATATAAAAATTATCGTCTTGGATGCGTGGAAAAAATGTTTGACGCCGAAACGCGACAAGTTGAAGAGGATTATATGGTACGTGTCAAAAGTAACAATGTATAGAATTTTTAAAATTCTTTTGTTTTAATACGCATTAGGTTTATTAATACACAATTTTAATATGGTTAATAATAGCTAGAGAAACAAGGATTAAAAGAACAAATGCTGGCAGATATGGATGAACGGAGAAAGAAATTGAAAGAAGATTATGAGAGTTTTGACATAACGAGTGGTACTGAAAATTAATTAAATTTTTTTTTTTTTTGGACTTTGAATTAAATGTGGTTCTTAAAAATTTTAAGACGCAGCAATGGATGGAAACCCGCGATATCATCCGCAAAGAAAATTGCGTGCTCGACAAAAAGAAGATACAGAAGTGAAAGTTAAAAAACCCAAAGTGACTGATATCCTTCTGCATATTTATGTTTATTTTGTAATCACGTGACATTAGTTATACAATCATTTCGTCATACCATTGTGTACCCTATTTCCTTAACTGCTGTGTAATACGACCATCAGTTTCTGCTAGGTTGCTTGAAAACGAGATTAATGATGATTTAGCCGAAATAGGAAAGGTACACATATCGTAGTCAATAGTAAATATTTAATTGTCAAATAAACTAATTTTGTTTTTTTCCAGGTTTCCTCCACCAGGAAAATGGTTCCCACTCATCACAAGAAAAAATAACCGGCCATCCACATTAAAAACACTTATTCACTTTATTATTTGTATTCGAATGATTATTACCCATTCATATTATTTTATTCATTTAATAAATGACTTTTCAACGACCCTTACAATCGCAATTTATTCTTGATAAATAGAAACGGTGTAGAAAATAAAATATTTTTTATTCAACCAATTAAAATTAAGATCTTAAACTCACGTGCTTATTTAAGATATTAAAAAATTTGTATACCTTCTTAAAATAGACATGATAATATAACTTGTAATCTGATTTGAAAAATTGAAGCTAACTTTAAACTTACTAGTTTTATTTTGTTTCTAACACGTTCGTATTTCACTCTTTTATTCATTGATTTGACAATTTTATTATTTTTTTTTTATTTCAAAAAAAGTTGTTCCTATCCTTTTTAATCTCATTATAAACAAATTAAAACATTTTTTTTTTTTTTTTTTTTTTTTTAAAAAAAAAACGTACAATCTTTCTTTTTTTTCCTGTAATGTTAAATCAAAGTTATGACTATATAGTATCTTTCTTCTTATGTTTCTTTATGATAATACACACGATTGAGGCTCAACCGAATAAAACAATATTAGCGAAGCTAGAAGGGATCAAAAATGGGTGGTTATCCACAGGTTCAAATGTTAATTACGCATTCGATAGAGAAATCAATCCTCTCGGTTTATCACTGTTTGCTTTTTCAACAAATTCAACCACGAAAATTTCATCAAATGACAAAATATTTATTACTGTAACAACTTGTAAAGCTCCTTTGCCAAATTTAAATAAAAAACCTAAATCACCTCCCGCTGAACAATTAGAAATTTGGATTTCTACAAAATTAAAAAATCCTGGTCCAACAATCATTGAAAATGGTGGTGGTGGTGTTAAATATAAGTTAAATGAAGGTTATTTAAAAGTTGTTATACCAAATGAGAATAAGAATGGATTGTATATAGGAGTATTTGCCCCTAAATTATCTGATGATTATTTTGGTCATTATTGGTTTCAAATTGGAGCTTCTACTAAAGGTAGGTAAAAATAATGATTATTATCATGTTCAATACTACTTATTTATAATATGGAATGGTTCTTTTAATGCAAATTTTTCACTCAAAAACAGATTTTTTACATAAAATTCCGACTGTGAAAGGATTGATATTAGATGATACGGATAGTACAAATGCTTTATTTAGAACGGTTAATATTAGTTCAAAACAACCTTTTTATGATGTAACTTTTGTTGAACACAAATTTGTGGACGGAATCTCTCAATCATTATGTGCATATACTGAAAATCGTTTAAATTCAAAAAATGTCTCATATACGACGAGGGAATTATATGGATCATTTCAATCTTTAATTACTATAAGTAATTTAAAAAATGGAACAAAATATTCCGTCCTTGTTAAAGAAGAATCAGTTAATAATCCAAAATTTTTCGTGCCTATGGCTTTTCAAACACAATCTCGTAAGTAATTTAATTTTGACTAATTTTAAATTTTTCTCTGCAAACTTTTATTAATTTTTTTCATTTTTACTTTTTGATGGAACGTCATTTTTAGAAAGTAATTGTATGATAATAAAAGATCTTAAATTTTGTGATAAGGTCTCTTATTCTGTACCAAAAACAATCTCAAAAACAACTGAACAAGAATTAGCAATTGGATATGATAATTTGGCAGAATCATATTTTAATAATTTCAAATTAACAATAGACCAATATCCATGTGATGATCCTCGTTCAAAATATTCCTTAGTTAGAAATTGTAATGATTGTAAAGAAGCTTATAAAGATTGGATATGTGCTATAACAATTCCTCGTTGTGCTAATGAAGATTCAATTTATGGTAATGAAAGAAACAAATCTCGTGTAGAAGTCTCTGATGAGACTATGAAAATTGATCAACCTTTTGTAGAATTACCTCCTTGTATTGATTTATGTTATAATATTACTAGATCTTGTCCTGAAAGTTTTGGTTTTAGTTGTCCTAAATCATCAAATTCAACAATTTCAACTTATGGTGATATAATTGATAGTCAATATCTTACATGTAATTCTCTAGGAATGGATTTTTCTTCTATATCTAATCTTGCAATATGGTTTTCAATACAATGGACATTAATATTATTAGTTATTGGATTTACAATTTTAATAGTAGGAATATGATTTTTTACTTCCTTACCTTTTTAGTCATGCATATATATATATTTATTTATTTTCTTCCTCCTTTTCACTAATATTTTATAATTCATTTCAAAAAAAAAAAAAATTTTCACAACATTATTTCATATATCATCAAAATTTTCTTATAATCACATTTTATAAACCTATTTAATCTTGAAATAAAAATAATTACTATAAAATCAATTCAACAAATTATAATTAACGTTAATATCAAAAGAGAAAAAAAAAAGAAGTAATAATTATAATTACAATTACAATTTTTGTAAATATTAAATAGGAATATATACATACATATATATAATTTTTTATACCTGTATTTTTATATAAATATAATTCATTCAACAATTAAAATCAATTATTTTCTGAACCAACGTTTTATTAAATTCCTTTAATGACTACGTGTTTATCATTATTCGCTTGTTTAGTTACAACTCTTCCAATTGTACAAACATCGGATTCATATTCTTCAAGTAATTTTTTAACTTTGATTTCATCATCACATGACACTATTAAAACCATTCCAATTCCACAATTAAATGTTCTGAATAAATCGTCTATTGAATAGTGTGCAATTTAGAATGTTAGAAACAACGTAATCTAACCTCATATTTAAATATAATGCTTACCTGAAGGGATGTTTCCATTTTCTTTCAACCATTTAAATACTTTCGGCAATTCCCAAGCATTCGAATCTATGATAACTCCAATATCTTTTGGTAAAATTCTTGGTATATTATCTATAAAACCCCCTCCAGTAATATGTGCCATTGCTTTTACAAGCCCCTTTTTGACAACAGGCAACAACTGTTTGACATAAATCTTTGTTGGAATGAGAAGACTTTCACCTAAAGAAATTGTTGAATTCCATGGACATGGCGATTTATATTCAAAATTGTGCTTATCGATGATTTTACGAACCAATGAAAATCCATTTGAATGTATGCCTGATGATGAAATTCCTATGAGAACATCATCAACTTTTATATCTGATATACGTGGAAGAACATTTCCTCGTTCTACAGCTCCCACTGCGAATCCTGCCAAATCGTATTCACCTAAATTTAAGAAAGAAATATATAAGAAATTTGACCAAAAAAAAAAGAATCTAATTCAATTTGTCGGATTTTAAATATAATTTCACCATGATTGTAAACGCCGGGCATCTCCGAAGTTTCACCGCCAAGTAAAGCGCATCCAGATTCACAACATCCAGCAGCGATGCTTTTCACTACAGTTTGTGCGACATCAACTTCTAATTTACCGCATGCATAATAATCAAGGAAAAATAAAGGCTCTGCGCCTTGTACAATAAGATCATTGACATTCATAGCGACAAGATCAATTCCTAAATGATCAAAAATTAAATAAATAAATAATTTAAAATGTTTTTACACGTCAAAATTATATATACCGATAGTATCATGTAAATTCATAGCCTGAGCAATTTTTAATTTGGTTCCCACACCGTCTGTGGTCGATACTAAAATCGGATCATCAAATCCAGCTGTCTTCAAATCAAATAATCCACCAAAGCCTCCAATTTCACAATCAGAACCTGAGCGTTTAGTGCTTTTCAAATATGGTTTGATTTTTTGAACAAGAGAATTGCCAGAATCAATCGAAACACCGGCAGAAACGTAGGTCATAACATTATCCTTCTCAAATTGGTTGGATAAATAAGTAAAGGCGCTAAATATAAATAATTATAAGCATAAATAAAGTGATTACAAAAATTATACATAATCTAATGTATACCGGTGAGCAATATCTTTTCTGAAATACATATTATCAAAACTGATATTCTTGATGCATTCATATGCTTTATCAACCGCATTTCTTAATGTAGGTGCTATACCGGTTACCGCAAGCACACGACCACCAGATGTAACAAGCTTTCCATCTTTGATACTAGTACCCGCATGAAAAATTAATGTGTCTAAATAGTCATATGATTATCATTATATATACATATGACGAAATAATTGCGTACAAGAAATAAAGTATTTACCAGAAGGAATATTATTAAAACTAATATTTTTTCCTTTCGAATAACTTCCGGGATATCCACCAGAAGCGGCAATTACGGTTGCCGCAAATCCTGGTTTAGTTTCAATATGCACTGAATCCAACCGTCTCTCAACACAAGCCTATGAATTGTAATATTAGTTTGAACCTAATATTAGATTTCGAACAAAGATTCGGTAATTAAATTACCAGAATTATGTCTGCCAAATCTGATTTATCACTTAAAAGTGGTAAAGCAACTTCAGTCTCTGGATCTCCAAATCGTATATTATATTCCAACACTCTAGGTCCAGAATTCGTTATCATGATTCCAGTAAACAGCATGCCAACAAAAGGAAACCCTTTTTTTTAAAAAAAAAAGGCTAGAACTTTAATATGTCTATTAACATGAAACTTCTTTATAATATTTACCATCGTGTCGCATGCCATCAATAGTAGGTTGTAAGATCGTATTCTGAATTTGGGCGATAAGTTCAGGAGTGGCGATCGGTGTTGGACAATAACATCCCATCCCACCGGTATTTGGTCCCTTCAGAAATTCCACACAATTATTAGTAAAATAGTTAAATATGAAATTACGTGGATTTTTGAATATTCACTTGATCACCATCAAAAATACGCTTATGATCCTGAGCAGGTGGAAGAGGGATAATGGTATAACCATCCGAGAATGCCAATACACTCAATTCTTGACCTTCAAGAAATTCTTCAATAACAACTTCATCGCCTATGTAAATAAATTATATATAAAAGGTATAACAAAAAAAAAAATTGCTAAATAAAATTTTTATAGTTACCCGCTGATCCAAATTCTTTATCAACCATTATTTTTTTCAGTGCATTCAATGCTTCTTGATTATTAGTCGGAATTATGACTCCTTTACCGCCAGCAAGACCCGAAGCCTTAAAACATTAGAATGTATCAAAGATGAATGAGCCTTATATAACATATATCTCTCTAATTATATTTTATTTTATTTTACCTTTATGACGACATTATATGATATTGACTCCAGGTAAGCCCTTGCCTTCTCATATTCTGAGAAATTCTAAAAATTGCAACAATAGAAATTTATAATATAAATAATGCTTAAGGTAATTCTAGCATAATAATAACCTCATAAGTCGCAGTTGGAATTTTGTGCTTTTTCATGAAATCCTTTGCAAAAGTTTTCGATCCTTCCATCATCGAAGCTTTAGGTGATGGTCCGAAACATGATACTCCAACTAATTAAGAAATTGACGATAATCCGAGAATTTTCTTTTAATCATGGGAATCATAATTAAAATAATTAAATGTGTATATGAAACTTACTCTTTTTAAAGGCTAATTCGATTCCTTCAACTAGTGGTTGTTCGGGTCCTGGTATAACCAAATTGATCTATAAAATGAATTATTTAATTTACAACTAATGCCAAATAAAAAAAAAGTTATTTCAGAAGAGCTCATACGTTATTTTCCTTTGCAAATTTGGTTAAAGAACCAAAGTCACTAACACTAATGTTGATATTAAACACTTTATCAATTCCGGATTCTGTGCCTCCATTTCCTTAACATTATAAGTATATACATTAACAAAATTCAAGAATTTTTAAAACGATAAAATGCTAGTATTCATATATAAACCTGGTGCTACATAAATTCGTTCTACTCGAGGCGAATGAGAGAGCTTCCAGGCAATTGCATGCTCTCGGCCTCCGGAACCTACGACTAAAATATGAAGCTTATCTAAAATAAGAAAAATGTTAATACAATAATAAAGAAATATTAATTTTTAACTATTTTAGTTTTTACAAAGAAATTGATACCTGTTGATGTCATATTAAAAGCAATCAATAAATCACGATCGCAATAAATTTATTTTATCTTTATCGGATTATGTAGGCCAATCAATTAACGGAAATTAAACAAAAATTTCAGTGTTGCCAGGTTACCTGAAATGACCCAATGAATGGTCATGTGTCATGTGGGTCAATTCTATGGCCGCCAATTGAAACTTTGATCCAGATAGTCAAGCATTTAATTAGACTTACAACATGAATTAAAAATAAAAATAAATGAATTTACATTAATATTAAATCATCATTTATTAATGTTTATAATTTCATACAAGATAGATAAAATTATACCTAACTATATAATGTAACTATCTTTGATTAATATATGAATTTCATATTTAATAAATCTATTATTATGAGAAGATTATCAGATAAAATAGATCTATTGCAATTGTGAGAAGAAATATCAGAATTCTGAAAATCTCTTATATAACTCAGATTTTTTTTTAATGATATAATACTGTCATAAGTTACAAATAAAAAATTTAAAGTAAAAAAAATAAAAACAAAATTATAACTATTTCCTGTAGTTATATTTACTAATCAAAATAGTTTAGGCTGATTTTGATACTATTTATGATTGATTTACCATATTTTTTAATCAGTATAAATATACATTAATAGATACTGATCAACTCCAATTAGACATAACTATTCAGTATCAATTCGAAACTTAAATTCAACCATAAATTAGTCTAAAATTAATCTCAATTCAGCATTAATTCAATATTAATTCAGAACTTAAATAACCTAAAATTAGCCTTAATTTAGCATCAATTCAGAACTTAAATAATTATAAATTAGCCTAAAATTAACCATCAATTCAGTCAAATAATCATATAAATCAATACATTTTATTTATTAAATTTATTAATATTAAAATTTTATTAATAATAAAAACCTAATATAAATTCACAAAATCATAACAAAAATATTACTAAAACCCACTGATTAATTTTTTATTTAAAAAATATAAGCAAAAAAGCAGAAAAACTATATAAAATAATAAAAATTTTTCTCCTAAAATCCCTTTAAATCGACTTAAATATTCATTATCATAATATTACCATTTTCAAAAAAAAGAATAAAATAATAAAATTATAATTTATTTTCCTTTTAAAAATTAACTATAAATATAAAAATAATAAATAAAATAATAAAAAATAAAAATCTACATCTTCTTACCAAATTACTTAAAATTATATTTTTTCTATTATAGAAGTAAAAAAAAAATAGTTCATTATTTAAAAAGTTGACTAGTTAATTAATAAAATTTAACTTAAGTTTTTATCTGATTTGATAATTGAAGGTATATTTCTATTATAAAAAAATAAAAAAAAAAATCAGTTTATTTTTTATTTATTTTTTTTGAAAAATTGATTAAAATTCAATTTAAATTTCATCTGATTTTGATAGTTAAAAACATGTTTCTATTATAAAAAGTAAAAAAATCAGTTTATTACTTTAAAAGTTAACTAAATTTTAACTTATATTTCAGCTTTTTCTTCGTCTGATTTTGATAGTTAGAGGTATATTTCTATTAAAAAATTAATTTATTTTTTGTTTATTTTTGAAAAATTAACTAAAATTAACTTAAGTTTTTTTTGTTCTTAAGACAATTTATTGGTATTTTTGGTAGCATATAAAAAGAAAAAATTTGGGAATAATTATAAAAAAATAAAGTTTGAATTGAAATTATTTTTAAAAAATGAAAAAATTAAGCTTATTTATATAAATATTCTGAAAATAAACTCAAATAGTATATTAAATCAATATTAATAAAATTATCCTTTTAATTAAAAAAGTTCTTTAAATATTTGATATTATTTTAGCAAATCAATTTAATCCAAAAATTTTTTGGTTTATTAAAATGATAAAATATTATATCTAAGAAATGATAAATACATTATACTTAAGGTATAATAGTAATATCATTTTTTAGATATGATAAATGCATTGTAACTAAAAAATAATAAAATATTATACCTTAAGAATAATAGGTATTATATCTAAGAAATGATAAAACTATTATACTTTAAAAATGATAATATTATTATACCTAAGGAATGATAAAATTATCGTATCTTAGAAATAATAAAATATTATACCTAAAAAATAATAAATGCATTGTATCTAAGATATGATAGTAATATTATTTTTTAAGCATGATAAATGCATTGTACCTAAGAAATGATATTACTATCATATCTTAGAAATAATAAAACTATTATATTTTAAGAATGATAAACATTATACTTAAAAACAATAATACTTTATATTTAAGATAGAAGTGTGTTTTAAATCTGATCAATTTGAGATATCCAGTCATCTATCTAAAATTTGATCAGATTCAGATTAATCTATTTATAGTTAATTCTTATTATAATGAACTCTATGTCTTAGATTTCAACTTTACTATAAGGCTATAGTGAAAATTTTAAAAGATTTGATTAATTACATCTTTTTTTATAAAAACTTTTGTCTATAGAAACAGTTTTTTTCTGAATCTTATACTTTAAAATAGTTGAAATTTTGACTTAGACAATTTAAATTCAAATGTAAATGTAAAATTCTTTCTTTTTTTTATCTTAAAAATGTTAATAACTTTTATTTATTTTTTTTTTTAAGAAAAATCTTTTTGTATCTGGATTTTAGCTTGGACTATAAACATAAGGTGGTGTAAAAGATTTGTTTTTATTTTTTTTTGACTTTAGAATACCATTAACATTCCTTTTCCTTCTTTTCTTTAAAAAACACCTTTCTGGAATTAGATTTTAGCTTGAATTATAAAGATAAGTTAGGTGTATGTTTTTTTATTTTTTCTTAGTTTTTGAAATATTATTAATATTTCTTTTACTTTTTTTCTTTAGAAGATACCTTTTTGAATTTAGATTCAGCTTAGACTATAAAGATAAAGTAATATAAAGGATTGTTTTTATTTTTCTTTATTTTTAAACTACTATTAATGTTCCTTTTTTTTTTTAGAAAATATCTTTCTAAACTGAATTTTAGCTTAGACATAAAAATAAATTAGGTATAAGTTTTTTTTATTTTTCTTTGTCTTTAAATACCATTAGTGTTACTTTTACTTCTTTTCTTTAAGGAATATTATTACAAGAATAATTATCAAAAAACATTAAATATAATATTAAGATATCAGTTATTAGAAATTATTTAATAATATTTTAATTAGAAATCATTTATTAAATAATAAAATAATAAAAGTAAAATAAAGTAATTCAATGTAATATAAGATATTGTAAATAATAGATAGTGATATAATAGTTATATAATTATAATTAGCCAAATTTAGGAAACAAAGTAAAAAGTAAATGGTAAAGATATTAAAACATAGGTAAATATTAAAATATAGATTGTAAGAATCAGGTAGAATTATATACAGACAATAAATATACATAGATAGCACATACACATAGTAGTTTTGATAGCAAATAGTATAAAGTTAACTAACTATATCACGACTACATCAACCTTTATAAAAATTATAAAGATAGCTTAAGAAGAATATTGAGAAGGAGGGGAATTAGTTAATAATCTTTTTGGAAAATTAGAAGGAAATTAAAAAATTATAATAAATAATATCTTTAATAAAATAACCTTTAATTATATAAATCTTTACCTATATTTCTTGAGGAATTAATAATTAAAAACATATTTAATAAACTGAAAGAAATAATATAATTTATCATAATTCTAAGTAAATTTATTAACTTGTATTTTACTGTTTGATATTCTTAGAACTATTAAGTATTATAAATAAATAAATTAAGTAAATAACTTAAGTGTGATAATGTTTTCCTGAATCTGAATTTTAGCTTGAGCTATAAAGAATTGTTTTATTTAACTTTAAAAAATTAGTTATTTTATAAAAATATTTGTTACACATACTTTTTTTATATATACTTTTTTTTTATACACGCTCTCTTTTTTTTAATTTTTTTTTTTTGTAAAAAAGTTTTTATATTTTATAATAAAATTTTAATAAATTTATAAGCATAGATTTAAATTCTATTGAAAATAATTAAAATAATTCAAATAAAACTCAAAAAAATCGGAAGGATCACAAAAAAAAAGTTAGGTATAGAATTAATTTGTATTTAATGATGAAATTACTACATATCAAGTAGAGGTTATCATAAGTAAAATATGTAGTAAAAATATCAGCATAGAAGTTTAACAGATATCTTAATAAATCATTTAAGTAGTAAACAACAAATAATTAAAAAAACAATTAAGCAAAATTATAAGATAAGAAATAAAATAAATAAATAGTAATTTATTTATTTAAATTTAATAATTTAGTATTAATTAATTATTTAATATATTTTTAGCCTCAAGCATTTTATGAGTTAGAAGTTACATTACATAAAAAGTCTTGTCAAATTGAACTTCATAATTTATTAATTAATTGGATAATTTTTAATACTTAATATTTAAATATTATACAATTAGAATCTTTTTAAAAATTTAAAAAAAAACTTGATCTAATATTTGATATTCTAAATGTTAAATTAATTAGTAAATCATTTAAAATGCTTATAATTATACACTTTTTTTTAATTTAAAAATTTATTAAAAATAATATAATTTAAGTTAGTTTAAATACTGATAATATAGACTGATAGAAATAGACTGGGATTTTTAGGTATTACTTGTTTTTTTTTTAGATAAATTTTACTATTCATGAAATTATTCTTACAATTAAACATATTAGATATTCTCATAATACATAAAATATATTTGATGCATTATTTGTTATTTTAGATGAGTGAAGTTTAAAAAATATAACAAATATAATAATAACTGATAATGAAGTAAATATAAAAAAACCAATAAAAGAAATGAATGAAATTGCTTCAAATATAAAGTAACAACTATATGTTATATACACATTAAAGTTAATAGTAGGAAAAGAATTAAATTTTGTTAAGCTATTAAGTTTAAAAGCAAAAAAACTGATTG